TTGTGAGAGGTAAAGTTGTACATTGTATTATAAGAGGTAAAGTTGTACACTGTATTGTAAGAGGTAAAGTTGTACACTGTATTATGAGAGGTAAAGTCGTACACTGTATGGTGAGAGATAAAGTTGTACATGGTATTGTAAGAGGTAAAGTTGTACACTGTATTGTAAGAGGTAAAGTTGTACACTGTATTGCTACTGTCAGAAGTGTGGTTCTGAGGGTATGGATCAACATCTGTGGCGTAGCATTTAGCTGCTTTGCTTTCATAAGCAGGAGGCTAGAGTTGGATTAGAAGAGCTGGGAGAAAATTTCTATTGAGTATCTCAGCTGACAAAATGTACACACCACATCAGATGTGGTTGAATGATGTATCTGAAGTGATATGTACATTTTGTCAGCTTTACTTCTCTTTTCATATTTAATTTTAATGAAAGCAATATATAATTTAATTTTTTTTATATGTACCTGCAAGTGTTTTTACGGTCCTGTACAGCCAAGAAAAATTTCCTTCGCGGATAATAAAGTATTATCTTATCTTATCAGTCTCTCCACTGGGATGTTGTATCCTCCTCAGGCTGGGTTGGCCTGGTTGGAAGCCTGCCTCCTATATGATCTTAATTGTGTTGATGGAAGTATGAAAACACATACATTAAAAAAAATAATTTTTTTTTAAAGTTAGGATAATCCTTTTGTTAAATGAAAATGAGAAGATGTTTTTACCTCATGATCCCCAGGAGGCAAACCGGACTAACGGTACTGACCATAGCAGTATTTTAAAACAAAATTTTTATTCCTTAAAAGTACAGCCTAGCATTAGCATGTACACACAGCGGAATTGACGGGACGTGGAAATCTTACGTTATGTACACATTTTGCTATGATGTTTTTGAAATATACAAAGAATATATACCTCAGTGCTTTCTTGTCCTATCTCTATTTTTAATAACAGAGAAAACAGTTCATAACAAAGAGTGAGCTTAAGAAAAAGTCACATTTTCAAAAAAAATGGAGATAGGACAAGAAAGCACTGAGGTTGCTAAGTGTGTGTTTTGCTATGTGTGTGCTAGACTGTATATTTACAAATAAGTAATGGCGATTCTTGGCAGTGAAGAAAGGTGTACCTATGTCTTCCACATTGACAAACTGCTCCTCCATGGCTTGAAACTTGGGGTGGCCTTCCACGTCCACGTCCCCCTGAGACTGAATCTGGGTCATCTTGTTGTCAAACTCCGCTCGCGGGTTCACTTCGTCCTCTGACCGGCTACTCTGAGGACAGGAAAAACCCCCATCAAAAACAGTTTAGAACATTTTGCTGAATCACTTCACTAACGATTGACTAATTCAACCTCCTGGCGGTATTGACTTAAAATGTCCATCTGAGTGAATGGTCCACTTCATCAAATCTCTGAGCTGTCTGAAGGTAAAAACAGTCGCAACGTTACACTGGAAATACAGAAGAACACCACATCATCGCTGTCACATAAGAATACAATAAGGCAATAAAACTGCGATGTATTTTCATCACCTTGTAAAAAAGAGCCAAACACAGTTACTCATCACCGAAAAGCTCTTCAAATGTACAAATCCCAGAAAGCAAAATTGAACAGGAGAGAGAAAAAAGTGTTTCAATTTTTTTTAAAACCTACATCATGCATTTGTGTCTTGCTTTTTTTTTTCAACATGGAGAATTTGAACTTCAACAAAATATTACTTGAGCACATGTGAGTGATGCCACAGATTTAGATTTACACTTCGAACCTACAATCCCACTTGAGCGGGGCAGCTCTACTTCCCCAATGCTCTGAGACCCCGTTGAAGGGGGAAGGGAAACACCCCTTTCCGATTGTGTGGTTCTATTTTCTATTCAATAAGAATAAAGTACAAGCTACAGTGTGGGATTGAAGCGTGAAGTAAATCGAGAGTCTATGTTGTGAAGTTTGAAGGAGCGAAGTGTATTTACGGCTATTTGCGAAGTGTTTAATGAGCTGATCAGTCCCAGCCATCAAGACCAGGGACTGGTGCTCTCAGGATTGGGGTCACAATAGGGTCAGGAGGTCAGGGTTCAAAGGGTTCAGAAACTGCAACAATAAAAATGCTTCAACATTTCGGGCTCAGCACATTTTAATAGCTGGCCGACAAAATATTCTTACCATTGATTTGACATGATTGAGAGCAGCAATATACTGCTTCACCTCCGCTTCCATCTGCACATAGTCGGCCATGATAGTCCTAGCATCCTGCCTAAGTTTAACATCACCTGTACAATTGACACGGTGAAAGAGTTAAGTGGTAGTTCATAAATATAGAATAAATAATACATTACACTTATTGATGCCCAGGGGGAAATTTGAATCACGGTGCAAACATACAACATAAATTATAATCAAACACACAATTTATCTGTACATATACAAACAAAGAATACCAAATACATTATTTTACACCAATGCAGAGAATTTCACAAACATGCCATTGCTGGTCACCAGTTGAGCGTACACTGCCTGTTTTATATAATTAGGGTTATCACAACTTGCTCAAGAATACAATCCGATGGTCACCCATCTTAACCCTGTATGACAGACATTTGCTTTACGTTATTTCTGAGTTTGAACTCATTAACCAATCGGCTTAAAAAACGATTCAAGTTCCAGAACGTTCAGTTTGAGATTTGACTCAGGGCCATTGGCTCCAAAGTCCAGAAAGCTATCAACATAACATACCCTCACAGTACTCTGCAATGTTTGAGACAACATCTATCGTGCTGTCCATGCCGCTGCCGATATGTTGAAGAATTCGCTGCTCGAGAATGTGGAGGTCCGAGTCCAATTCCCGCGTCTGATGTCGGCCGGCCATGGTGGGGAGCTGTCAAGACTTTTTGTCCCTGAAATTTTTGGTGGAGGTGTAAGAAAAGGAACGTAATTAAAATGGGTTAGAAAAAGAGTTATCTAAACTGAGTCTTGTCTATATTTGAAAAGAACTGACAGACTAACAGGGCCTTTGAGCAATATGATAAACCAAATTCAGGAGTATCTAAATTTCATATAGGGGAATTTTTTATCATGTTTTAAAACATCATGTTAATGTTGACCCCCCCCC